CCCCGTGTGGCTGGGGCCACTATCTATTATTACAGTCAAAACTGGCATTATCCATTTGAAGCATTTCACTTGCACTTTAAAAAAAAAACTTGCATACAGTAGAACACTTCGTACAATGCATCCAAAGAATGAAACAAGATTAAACCCAGTGTCTATTTTCCCCCAAAGCACTGTGTTTATTATATTTAAATTGGAACCCAAAGCACAGGGCTCTGAGCACATTTTAGAACACATCATCTTTTGGGGGTGTTCAAAACAAACCTGGGGGGGGGACGGAACGACACACACACAACAAACCAATCTGCTTCCTTATGTAGCCAGTGGCATTTACCAGATGTCCTCTGCAGGAAAGAAAATGCAGCAGGCCTCTCCACTGCATCAGAGCATTTTGATGCAAACCAGAGATGGATGAGGAAAGCATTGCGATATTTTTCCATGTGAATCACATGGGCCCCTTTTCTACACCTCCTCAGGAGTATCTTCTAAGACAGCCTCTCAGCTCTGGAGCCCCTCTCTCCTTACTGACACGCCTCCTACCATCCCCTCCCCACTTTAGATCTCTTACATTTGGGGGGAGGGGAGTCAATAACAATCATTTACATATTTATATTATGCTTTAGAGTGTCCAAAGAGCTTCACACACATTTTAATTTTGTTATACTTAAAACAGCCCTGTAAGGTAGATTTATATTCCTATCCCCCAGTCTGCAAGAAAGGGTAGCTTTATCTGAGTAGACCGTAGACATAAGACTTAAGCCAGAAACTTTCTGATTCCTGCAGGGAGCATCCTAAACAGGCCTCCTCAGAAGCAAGTCCCATGTTAGTTATTGGGACTTACTCCCAGAACAGTGTCCTTAGGATTGCAACCTTAGTCCTAAACCGGCCTCTACTGCTTAAGCATAGAAAACAATAGATATTAGGGTTGCTAACTGGCCAGGAGATAAATGTTCTGCCCATTCAGTAGAAGCTTAATGTGTGAAAGTGGGCAGCCAGGCATGGAGGTAAGTAAGATCACTTGGTACTGCACATAAAACTGTTATTAAAGGGACAGCTAGAGGGACCCGTTTAAAAGTCAGCAACCCTAGTATAGATGAACAGTAAAATGTATGTGGAACCATCAACGGAGCCCACAAACTTTCCCATGCAAATGACTACAAAATCATCCCACACTCTAGATCCCTACCCTCCAAATGAAAATAGCAGCAATGACTATTAGCGTTTATGTAATACTTTTAGAGTGTTCAGAGCCCTTCACATACATTGATCTGCTGTAATGTAATCCTTACAGCAACCATGTAAGGTAGGTCAGTATTATTACCCCTCCTCCATATTGCAGATAAAGGGTGGAGGCTGAATGGGTGTGCCTTGCGTAAGGCTACCTAATGAGTTCACGCCAGCGGTGACATTGGAACCAAGGACTTTGCAATAGCTCAGTTTCCTAGTTGCGATGCTGAAGTCACTTGAAATCACCCCACCTCACCCCACGCAATTATCAAAAGTTCCTACTGAAAAGGGAAAAAAAGGAAAAAGAATACATTTGACATTTGCAGCCTCTGATGTTATGACTGCAAGAACACAATGATCAGACAGACTGAAGATCCTAAAAGGCCTTTAATGGGAGCCTTTTCCTCTTTCTTAGGGTACCATGAGACACTATAAGAGATCAAGTGCTGGGGCTGAGGAATTTAAGAATATGCTCAGGTCAGAGACATCATGGCTTTATGCCCAGAGACAGAACCTACCACTGCACACTTATCACAGGCTCCACAGCAGTCAAAGCCTTGCCACCTACCACCAGAACAGCAGGCAAATCAGTATATCCATGACTGCCCATTTTGCAGTATGGCAAACCCTGTCATGAACATGTTCACGGAGACTCAGGTGTGTTTTTAATCATGCAGCCTCCCCCCAGCTGTAAAGAATAGCAGTATAGAGACACAGAGCAGATCTAATAGGGGAAGTGTATACATTTGTTCCTCCCCGTCCCACAATAGAGAAGAGGGAGAATGTTAGCATCACAACAGGGGTTGTTCTAAGTTATGGTAAGTCACGGTCTCATTGTCTTTTATACTCCACCACAACTTTCTAGGGATTGGGAACAACCAATCAGAAACCATATGATTTCATCAAGGGGCATCAAGGGTATCTCAACATCTATAGCTTATAGGAAAGCTCAGGAGCTGACATCTCCGAAGACGACTTATTAATACTGGTAACAACTCCCCCCCCCCCCAATACAGATAATCCAAGGGAAGATTCTAGGATTCAGTTACAAAATGGAAAGCAGGAAATCCAGAGACCAGAGATTAACCAGAGCTAAGTGATATTTTAAAATGTCATGGCAGCATCTCCGATTTCAGTCAAGGTGTGAGGGGGTGGGAGTCTTTGGAAGAGGAGGGAAAGGCTAACTGCCTGAGAAAACTGGTTTCAGTTCCCATACCGGTTGGAATTTTGGAGATGAGCTTCCAGTTCTGACAGAGAATTCTTCTTTGGAATTACCCCATGTGGGTTTTCTGATGCCTAGTTAAATGTGAATTCCGATTGAACCTCTTCCCACATTCGAGGCACACATAAGGTTTCTCCCCTGTATGGATTCTCTGGTGCTTCTTAAGACATGAACTCTGGCTGAAGCATTTCCCACACTCAGGGCATTTGTAGGGCTTCTCTCCTGTATGGATTCTCTGATGTTGGATCAAATCAGAGATCCCACGGTAGTTCTTCCCACACTCTGAACACAAGTAAGGTTTTTCTCCAGTGTGGATTCTCTTATGTACAACGAGGTGGGAACTCTGAGTAAAGCATTCCCCACACTCTCGGCAAATATAAGGTTTCTCCGCCGTGTGGATTCTCAAGTGTCTAATGAGATGAGAGCTGACCAGAAAGCCTTTCAAACAGACAGGACAGCCAAAAGGCTTCTCCCCAGTGTGGATTCTTTGATGAGCAACAAGGTTGGAGCTCACACTGAAGCTCTTACCACAGTCAGGGCACTTGTAAGGTTTCTCTCCAGTGTGTATTCTCTGATGTGCAATAAGGGTTGAGCTCTGGGAAAAGCTCTTCCCACATTCTGGACATGTATAAGGTTTCTCCCCTGCATGGATTCTTTGGTGTTTCACAAGGGCCGAGCTGTCACTGAAGCGTTTCAAGCACTCCCGGCACATGTAAGGTTTCTCCCCAGTGTGGGTTCTTCGGTGTCTAATGAGAGGGGAGCACCGTTTGAAAATTTTTCCACAATCAGGGCACTTGTAGATTCTTCCTCCCTTTGTGGCTTTATTCTGAACTGTGGTTTTGCTGGGTTCCACAGCTGTTCCCGCACGTGACACTGTCCTGCACCGTCTCTTCTTTGGGATGTAATCTTGCTGGCTGTCAGGAGCAGGTTCACTGTCAGAAGGCTCTTTGTCCCCCGGAATCTGGAAAACAGTGATTTCATATTCTTCTGGCAGGGTTTCCCCGACTTGTTCGGGATCTTCCTCTGGATGAATCTTCACTACTTGCACCAAATTCTCCATCTCTTCTTCCTCCTGGGAGATCTGCTCCTCTTTTATCAGGGTCTCTTCCTCTTTCACCATCTCTAACCTGTAGGAACAGAGAGACATTCATAAGATGAACCATTCTGTGCAACAGAAAAACGAAGTGAGAAAACTGGGTGTGCAACTGAAAACAAGACGTCACCATCATAATCTACACAGTGCCACTGATATAGTTTTTGCTGTCAAGTCGGAGCTGACTTATGGCAACCCTGTAGGCAAGGGATTTTCATAGGTGGCTTGCCCCTGCCTGCCTCTGTGTAGCAACTCTGGTATCCCTTGATGGTCTCCCGTTCAAATATATTGACCAAGGCTGACCCTGTTTAGCTTCCAAGTTCTGACATGGGCTATCCTGGGCTATCCAGGCTATATGTATACAGAGTGCAAAAAGACAGTCACTGCCCTAAGGAGCTTGCCATATATCATCTGGCATAAGGAAGACAACAAAAAAGGACAGGAGGGAATTGGAGATAAACAGGGGAACAATCTGTGTTCATTTATTCCACTTGCACCTGCTTAGGTTGCTGCCCCATGGTGATGATTCTCTATTGAGCTCTCGCTGCTGCAGCAGCAAAGGCCCAGGCATTCTCAATATCAACAGAGCATCCACATGGTTTACAAATACGCTTTGACTCCCAAAAGACTGTATCAAAGCAGGTTTGCAAGAGACTGCAGCAAAATACTGGAACATCATGTAGATGCTAAACAAAACAAAGTAAAATCATGCCCCAATTTGAATGCCAACCCAGAGCAAAACCTCAGTTGTGGAAGCAGCCTTGGTTTCACTAGGGGAGAGGGATCGTAACAAAGACCGAACAGGAAAAGGTGTTTTGAGGAGTGATTTGAAAAAAAGTAGGAAATAATCAAGTCAATCCAGGAGATCTCCTCTACGAAGCAGGGGCTCTAGGTCTTCAGTATGGTTTACATTCTCCCAGGCAAGGCTACAGTACCAAAATAAAATGTGACAACTTTTGATTACTTACCATTTAATGTATGCTATGTCAGTAATTTATACTACAACCCTGCAAGGGTAGGCGAATATGATTGTTTGCAGAATGCAGATGGAAGAGACAAAAGTTTTCTTAAGTGTGAACACAGCCGAGGGAAGCTGTAAACAAAGATCTTCTCAGATCAGCCTGGACTCTTAACCAGTATTATTATTATTATTATTATTATTATTATTATTAGTATTAGTATTAGTATTCTGAACTAGTTTTGGCAAATGCAAACAAACAGATAGATACAGAAACCAAAAGGGTACTAAGTATGTCTTTTAGTGATCAGGGAGTGAGGCTTCTTAGTCCTTCTCAGAAATACAATACTCAAAGGCTTCCTCCTCTTAAGTCAATTCAGCAGAGCTGTGAACAGCACACAGAAGCTGCAGTGAAAAGCACATAACCCCCCACCCCCTGGCCTGCAGAAAATCTGAAATGCAGTATTTGCTACTCAAGACTCACGTAACAGGAGAAAGCAGGGATTGAACCTGAGGCTCTCTGTATATAGTTCATCTGCTCTGCCCTGTACTTTCTCATTCTTAAAGGGGCGGTGCTTCATTCCTGACATCAGAGAACATAAACCCAACATCTTGAAAGCAAATCCAATAAACCGCATAGATATACTAGCCACGGGGCACATCTCTCTGCTGTTTTCCTGGATTAGTTTTGTAGGAACTCACAACAGCATACATGGCTCTTCTCCCTCCCCCTCCATTTTATCCTTAGAACCACCACTCTGTGAGGTAGGTTTGGTTGAGAAAAAGTAAACAGCTGAAGGTCCACCCAATGAGCTTTATGGAATACCCAAGTCTCCCCAGTCTGCCATTCCAAGCACTAGGGGTCCCCAATGGGGTGAATGGGGGAGCCATGGCACCCGCCAATACCTTTCCTGGTGCCCACCAAGTGCTGTTTTTAGAAAGGGGATGGGGCTCCTGCCTAGTAGGCCTTCTAACTGCCTACTTGAGATCTGACTGGCTGTGCAGATTAAAATACCGTTTCAGCAACAGCTGTCCCTACACTGCTGGTTTTATTCTCTCTCTGCCTCCTCTTTCCCAGTGTATTTTTAAAATTTACTCCTCTTATCCCTTGCACTTGGGCATCCTCTGTGTGTTTGGCTGGCTCCGCCTCCCACGTGGGCATTCTGAAGTTGTACCCACCACCCTATGTTGGAATTCAAAAGGTGCCCACAGGCTCAAAAAGGTTGGGGACTCCTAGTCTACCATGCCTACATCTCACCGTGGTACAGTGCACGTTGGAATATTCAAAGCATTGCATACACTATCTCGGTCATCCTTATAATGTTATATCAGAACAGAACATTGCTCTTACCCCCCTGCACAAACACACACACATTGCAAAGAGTACTGGTGGTAAACCTCCTATAGCCACCCAATAACTCACAAATGCGGTGGCATTTGAATTTGGCGCATCCCAGTTTACAGCTAACTAGCTAGATTTAACATGAGATGACTCAGGTTATCCGTTAGCAGGGGTTGCTAAGATAAATCAAAATGGCTCATTTGTATATTGTTATTATGAAATGGTGGGATTCTTTCCCCGTGGATACATGTCATACCTTCCTAAATAAAACAGCAGTCCAGTGGCTCCTTAAAGACGAAAAACAATTATTCCTGAATAAACATTTGTGAGTTAGCGCCAGTGTTCCCTCTAAGCTGAGTTAGTGTGAGCTAGCTCACAGGTTTTTAGCCTCCAGCGCACACATTTCTGTCTTCGCTCAGGAAGGATGGCTCCAGAGCAAACTAATTTATGCAGCAGCCAAACTGCTCACTCACAACTTCAATGCCGGTAGCCCACAAAGTAGAATATTTGCTCACAAGACTCCACAGCTTAGAGGGAGCACTGGTTAGCACTCACTGGACTCCTGCTTTACTTTCCTCCTACACACTAACACAGCTATCCATTTGGAATATCTTCCAAAGGATTCCCCTTTAACAGATAAAGGACCACATTTCTCATTATATCCAAGAATATCCTCCAAGATACCCTCAGGCAGGAATCCTGCTAAATGTAGAAATTTTAAAGGCAAACTATTAATACTTCCACTTTGCTTAATTCTCCTATTCAAATAACGTTGTCTAAATCTAGATGTATTTGGATGATTCGATGAAAGAAACAGCTATGGTTACGGAATATTAAAATGCAATTTCTGGGAGGCAGGATCATCCACGTTTTTTGACATATTGGCCCTTCATACCCTTCACTGCTTTCTTTCTTTCTTTCCTGGTATGTTAGCAAAAATAAACGGCCCCCAGGTTCTTGCTTTTCTCTTCAAATAATTCCTGCAGTATTACCTGGAGTGTCCGGGTGTTCAGTAGTTAATGACTGCAGCACGTAGAAGGTGATTTCAGGCTGCGGCAGTTTTCACTCCGGTCGGGCCCCGAGTGTAAGCGAGAATCAACGTCCGCCCTTAGCGTCCCTCGGATCGTCGTCAGTGGCTGCTCAGGCCCAGATCGCGGGGCGGGGCTGGGGGCTGGCGACGCGAGACTGCAACTTCTCCGACAATATATTTCCAAAGCAGAAGCAGCTCGGCATAAATAATTTATTTTTTAAAAAAATAAAGAAATGATAGGCTCGTGAACGGTGCGCACTCTCTGCTCCTTTTGTTCTGTGTCTTCTTCTCCGCCCCGGATCTGCTCTTCTGTCCGAGCCACGCACACCCACTTGCTACAGTAGGTCCAACCCCTTCCTGTACCGGTGCCATTTCCAAGCCGGGCTGCAACACTGCCCAGAATTGTAGTGTGAAGTCTTTTCGGGACATCTGGAGGCTGAGCCCCGAAGAGTACTATGCCGAATCCACAGCCCTGGAATGGGATCGCCTCTGCGGAGGAGCTTGCTTCTCTTTCTGCCGCTTCATGCGTTGTGAAGGTCTCCCGTGGAGGACACTTTCTGCGTGCAAATTCATCGCAGTCCTACTTGCAAGTTACACTGAAAGAATGTACAGTACATGAACAATGTACGCTTGATTGTTCTTTGGATGCGTTAAATAATTCTCATGTTACAGTCAGCGCATATTATTAATACGTAATGCGTGATAACAAACATCACACAATCAGGTACTGGTTCCTGGTTTCATTCATAAAATGAACACGTGTTGGCTCTTTTTTACAGCCATGTACAGGCAGGATAAACGTGTTCACTGTAACATTAGACGTTGTTATACAGTGTACGTACATGGACGTTACTTAATGTGGTGGGCATCAGGGGGATCAAAGGTACTTTAGTTTATTTAAACTATTCTTATCCTCTTCCTGTAGCATTTTCCCCCTGAAAAAATTGGCTGGAGATGCTGGGACTCTACAGGCAGGATTTGTGCTCCAGGGCTAAGCCACAGGCTACCCCTCTAAACTCAGTATATTTACGAAACTAATCTCTTTTAGCTCTCTTTTTAAATACCCCTGTATGAAGAACAACATACCCATCAGCTTTGGAAAAGTTTTGGGTGCCTCTCTCCATTTTGGGTTGGTTGTCTTGTCTCATCAGTGTGTGAAGTTCTGATTTCTTCAGTGGATGCTGAAATGCCTGCACATCAGCATTTATAAAGAATTTTGGGTGTGAGAGGGAAAAAAAAGAGAAATACAGATGAAGAGGCCTGTCTTCATCCACCAACATCCTTCAAATCAAAACCAATTTTTCAAATAGTTCTATCAAGGGTTGCCAGCTCTGGGTTGGGAAATACCTGGAGATATTGGGGGTGAAGTCTGGGACCTCAGCAGGGTATAAATGCCACAGAGTTCACCTTCCAAAGCAGCCATTTTCTCTAGGAGAACTGATCTGGATTGCGTGGAGATCAATTGTATTAGCAGGATACCTCTAGGTGCCACCTGGAGGTTGGCAACCCTAGATCAGGTCTCCAGCCATAACTGGGCCGATATGATGCAATCTTTCCCAAAGAGGAACAGGTCCTTAGATAGGGCTGTCACTTGTTTTATTTAGCACAGTATGAGTGAACAGTGCAAAAGTAAAACCTGACCCCACAAGTAGTTCTTCTAGAACAGGAGCCCCCAATGTGGTACCCATGGGGACCATGATGCCCTCCCACACCAGTTTGGTGTAGTGGTTAAGTGCGCAGACTCTAATCTGGGAGAACTGGGTTTGATTCCCCACTCCTCCACTTGCACCTGCTGATGTGACCTTGGGTCAGTCACAAGCTCTGGCACAGCTGTCCTTGAAAAAGAGCAGTTTGTGTCAGAGTTCTCTCAGCCCCACCCACCTCACAGGGTGTCTGTTGTGGGGAGGGGAAGGGAAAGGAGTTTGTAAACCGCTCTGAGACTCCAAGTGAAGGGCGGGGTATACATCCAATCTCTTCTTCTTCTCTTCTTTCACCAGGTTGGTCAAGTGTGTTAGAAAGAGGGAGGGCCAGGTATGACTTCTGCCCAGCAAGCCTTCTGATTGCCCCTTGGAGACCTGATTGGCTATGCAGGTTTTTAGAAATGTAGCTTTGGCAGCAGCTGCCATCACAGCACAAGGATCTTCACTGGGTGACTGAAGGTAAGCTGCAGCAGCCATTTGGTGGCCGGCTCCACCCCCTGCAGCAGCCATTCTGTGGCTTTACCCACCACCCTGTATCAGAATTCCAAAGGTACCCAACTGTCTCATAGAAGTACCTAATGCTGTTTGCTGTGTTTGTGTGGACTGAGTCTTTGCTCACACAAAGGTAGCCTACGGAGCTGGTGGAGCAGCTAAGCTACGAGTGCCGTGTTCCAGCAACAGCCTTTGTAGCGGTGGTTGAGCAAATAAAGAAAGGCTTCCAACGGGATACTAATCAAAATGCTTAATCCAGACTAATCATCACTTGATGAGTTCTTTCATAACCACTTATATTAAGAGTGCCCAGCCCTTGCCTGCAGGAGTGGCGGTAGCATCCAGGATGGGCATGTGGAATGGCGAAAAGAGCTAGCTTGACTGTTTATGGACCCCAGCTGGACTGCGGGATTCGCATGCAAACCTGAAGAGCTGGATGCCAGAGTTCACAGCTGGAGGCTCTCACTGCAGAATGCAAGCTGCATGAGTATGTGCTTTCTCATACTTTGCATTCTTTGTTTACAGAAAGCAAGCACTCTTGCTTGGCCTTCTCCCCACTGTGCCATTCTTGTGTGCATTATTTTTTTTTACACATGGACACACATTGAAACATGCCATTTGCAACCATGCCTTCTCAAGTGTTACAGTCCAGAGAGGACTGTACCATATTCTCCACCCCTCAATGTGTTTTTGTTGTTCAGTCGCACAGTCCTCTCAATGTGTAGACTGACTTTAAAACAGGATTTTTTTTCATGCAGACACTCAAATAGATCACCCAGAAGATCTCAAACATTCAGCAACACCCAGTCTTCTGCCGTCCTCTGAAGTTTGCTCAACTTCATGTTCGTTGCATCGATGACACTGTCTAACCATCTCATCCTTTGCCGTCCCCGTCTTCTTTGACTGACTTTAATGTGTAGACTGACCTCAATGTGTACACTGACTTTAAAACAGGATTTTTTTTTCATGCAGACCCTCAAATAGATCACCAAGAAGATCTCAAACATTCAGCAACACCCAATTTTATTGACATTTTTGTGGACCCCCAAGCCCTCCATGTCTGCCCTTGCACCAGCCATCCCTCCTTCAAAATGCGTCCATCCTCAAAAAAGAAAAGACTGACTCTGTTCAGAAAGCACAGGAATTTTAAGAGTCCAGTGGGTGTTTCTATTTGACAGTTAAATTTTAAACTTATGACTGGAAAAAGTTAATGCTAAATTTGACTCAGTTAATAGTAAGATTAACGGGATTAAGACTAACTGTATGTCTAAACTGGTGAGATGATCTCCTCTCTTGGGTTTTTAGTCAGTAGTGGGTATCTTTCTTTATCCCATAAATGTAGTCCCCCCCATTTTCTGTTGTAGTTTGTAGTGTTAAAAAAATGCAATAAAAAATCCCCTCCAGGGGCTTAAAAAATATGCGTCCATCCTCTACTGTCCTCAAGACAGTACAGTGAGAACCAGATCAGCTGCATTTTAAAAGCAAGCTGACCTAAAAATGTGGGTATTATCTGTATGTGTGTCCATGTCTCAGGCAGCAGCTATTCTCATAGGGCCACCAGTCAAAAGGCCCTGACCGAAGTCCTAATCAATCTCATCCCTGATTGGGAGGGAGTTTGTGCTAAAGACAGCAATAAACTATTCTTATCGGTAAATAACTTCTGCCCTCACCTAAACAGCCCACGCTAAGACAATCTCATCATATTTTGGAAGCTAAGCAGGGTCAGCCCTGGTTAATACTTGGATGGGAGACCACCAAGGTTGCTACACAGAGGCAGGCAATGGCAAATGACCTCTGTGCAAATGACCTCTGTTTATCCCTTGCCTTGAAAATGTCAGCTGCCATTTGATGGCACTTTCTACCACCACAAACAGCTTCTAGCCAGTGGCCAGCTGAATAGGGGTAGGAAGGGGCCTGGAAAAACCTTTGGGGTTGCTCATATAAACAGGAGACCAGCTGATTCTGTTCCCTTCCCGGAGGCACACAGTCTCCTCCTGCTCTTAGGAAACTGGCTCCATTTTCATATTACCTGAATGGACATGACAAGGGTTTGTCCTCTATCCTTGCAAAGGACTTGCTGATCCCCAGAGGTCCTCCCCCAGATGTGCTGGATTAACCCACATCATACTGATTCCAGAATGCCCCAAGCAAAAAGCAAGGAACAAGGAATATCCCCAGGTCAAAACTCCGAGATACCTGCATGTATGGAATAAGTTTAATTTCTGAAAAGAACAATCCAGATGGCTCAAGAAATGCATCAAATTATATTAAAAGATACTGACTAAGGGCTAAGGAAAAAATGTCACGTGAATAGATCACATGGGAATTTTTTTCTTGAAGAATCCCCTTATCCCCTGCAAGGCTGCCAATCAACTGAGATGAACATCAGAAGTCATTCTCTGTGTGCCTCTACAACCAGCTGCCTACCAGAGACAGAGAGTCATCTTTGGTTGTGTCCAATGGTTTCTACCGCATGCAGATTTCATAGCACTGTAGTGTTTATGGTGACAGCTCACTCTCAAGTGAATTCTTGGCTTTGTTAGTAGCACTGCTGGGCTCCAAGTGAAGGTTTTCACTTCGAGTTTTGAGATATGCTTGAGGTTTCTCTTCTGTGCTACTCAAAAGGGCAGATGGCTCCCCTGCATGAACCTGCTGATGGCGAAGGAGGCCTGATCTAACGGTAAAGCTTTGTCCACAGTCATTGCATTTATAAAGATTCTCACCTGTGTGGATTCTCTCATGTTTGGTCAAGTTTGATCTCTGGGAGAATCTTTTCCCGCAGGTGGAGCATTTGTAGGCTCTCTCCCCTGTATGGATTTTTTTATGCCTGTTCAGATTTGATGTGTAACAGAAACTTTTACCACACTCACTGCACACGTAAGGTTTTTCCCCTGTATGAATTCTTTGGTGTGCAATTAGCTGTGAACTTCTAATGAAGTTTTTATTGCACACGGTGCAGGAAAAGGGCTTTTCTCCCATGTGGCTTCTTTGATGTGCCAGGAGTTCTGAGCTTTTACTGAAACTTTTTGAACACTGACTGCATGGGTACGGCTTCTCCTCCATGTGAGTTTTCTGGTGAGCAATGAGCTCTGAGGTCCTCCTAAAGCTTTTCCCACACTCCACACATGCATAAGGCTTCTCAGTCATGTGGACTCGCTTATGACTGCTAAGGTGTGAGCTCTGAGTGAAGCTTTCCCCACAGTCAGGGCACATATAGGGTTTCTCTCCTGTGTGAATCCTTTGATGCCTGAGCAAAACAGAGGCCCAACCAAAGCTCTTCTCACACACCACACAGACATAAGGCTTTTCTGACGTGTGTACTCGCTGATGACTTTGTAGACCTGACTTAATACTGAAACTTTCTCCACACTCTGGGCACCTGAATGGTTTTTCTCCAGTGTGGATTCTCTGATGAGTAATCATGTGTGATTTCTGGGTGAAGCCTCTCCCACAACTGGGACATTCATAAGATCGCTCACCCGTGTGGATTCTCTGATGTCTGCTGAGGTCTGAGATGCTGGAGAAGCTTTTTCTGCACTCGTCACAGACATAGGGTTTTTCTCCAGTGTGAATTTTCCAATGTCTGCTGAGTTCAGAGGTGGAATAGAAGCTCCTGCCGCAATCAGCACACAAACATGGTTTTTCTCCAGTGTGAATTCTCTGATGTGAAATTAGCTTAGAACTGCTACAGAAGCCTTTGCCACACTCTGCACATCCATAGGGTTTCTCACCTGTGTGGATTCTCTCATGCACAGTGAGGTGTGAGCTCTTATTGAAGCTTTTCCCACACTCAGCACATGGATAGGGCCTTCCTGCTGCACGTTTTATCTGGCAACCAATAAGGCAGGCGCTCTGAGTGAAAGCTTTCCCATAGTTAGAATGCACATGCTCTTGCTTTCTTTTGCATATTGTTTCCTGAATTAACGATGCATTCAGCTTAATGATCCTTTCTTGACCAGGAGAGAGTTTACACCATGTGTCGTCTGAGGAAGACTCCTGCTGTGGCACTCTACCATTCTGATTCTCACGGGTGTTTCCCAGTTGGGAGACATGGGACTTCCCCAACAGCATCCCATGGGGTTCTGTACAATCTGGACTTTCCCGCTGAGAACTCTCCTCCTTGTCCTCATGTAGCAGCTCATCATCTGCTCAGACAAAGAAAGAATCTAGCTGTGAATTGCTTCTTACACCAAAGGCCAACATTGCTAAAATTGGATTGGCTGAAAGCCTGCACCAAAGCAACTATATGCTGTTCCTTAATATACATTCACACCCTCTGACATAAAAATCTTGCTGGGTCATACCAAAAGGTATACAGGCCAGCAACAGCAAATGTATGTAGACCAATTGGATACCTCTGGGATGTTCACAAACACAGAATATGGGAGCAGAAGGAGGGAGTCTTTTGGGTATAGCTAAACAATGCATGTGACTCAAAACCAGATTGCAGTCACATGTACAATGGGGGGACTCGGCTTGATCTATCCTGATCCATCAACCTTCTAGCATGAGACTAGTGTGCACTGAATTACACCAATTGCCAAACTGTCAATCAGGAACTTAGATTATTATTTAAATTTTAACCTTATTTATATGGCGCTGATTACTGATGTTTTAAATTGTCTTTGATGATGTGATGTGAGCTACCCTGAGCCTGCTTGCAGGGTAGGGTGGGATATAAATCACAATAAATAAATGCCTGTTGCTCACAGGGGCTTGTGAACACTGCGAGAGGGGAGAAGGGGCTTCAGGATGTCCTCCCGTGCCATTTTCCAAAGCAGAGATGGCTGGGGAGGGGCTGTTTGCCCCTTTCTTGGGTTACGCAGGGCTCTTTTTGTAGCAGGAACTCCTTTGCATATTAGGCCACACACCCCTAATGTAGCCAATCCTCCAAGAGATTACAGAGCTCTTCTTACAGGGGCTACTGTAAGCTCTTGGAGGATTGGCTACATTAGGGGGGGTGTTGCCTAATATGTAAATGAGTACCTGCTACAAAAAGAGCCCTGGCACTTACACGTATCCTTAAGTCACATGATCCCAGGACTTGTGAAGCCCGAGAAAGGGACAAACAGGGGCCGTCTGCAGCCATTTCCACTTGGGAAAACAGTGCAGGAGGGAAGCCTAAAGCCCCTCCTCCCCTCTCACGGCGTTCGTGAGCCCCTGCAAGCAATGAGCACTTCAGCAGGTGAGTTTCCCCAACAGTACATGTGACTACAAGCCAGGTCAGGGGACCCCTGAACTCAGCCCGCATCATATATATCATTTAGCTAGACCCTTTGGGAACATCCTTCCAGCTGCATCACATCTAGCTGAGCTTCTGTCTCCTTCCGATCTGCAGGTATAAAAGTCTGGGCATGGCCAGAGACAGGAGCCCTTGGTCAACACCCCAAGGACTCTTGGCCCAAGGCTCACAGCCTGGGACCTATGACAGCCAGTCCAGCCAGTGTCCAAAATGGGTTGTTTGTCTTGCTTGTCTAAATAAATTTAATATGTTTGGGAAATTTCTGTAAGCTGCTTTGGGGGCAAAAATGGCACTGAAATGGTTAAATAAATCAATGAATAATTATAACTGATTGCACTGTTCGGGGACGAAGTCGTAGTTTGGAAGCCTGGTTTTTGAGCCAGAGAAGGAATCTCAGTTTGTCATTTTGCTCAGCATTGATATCATGATAAGCTTTATCCCTCCAACAAGAACTCCGTGAAGCAGGTTAGGCTGAGAGACAGTGACTGGCCCAAGGTCACCAAGCAGGCTTCTGTGGCAGAGTGGGGATTCGAACCAGCTTCTTCCAGATCCTAGTTTGATGCTCTAACCACTACACTACACTGTCTCTCAAACCTGAACCCAAGACTCCTGGATCCTAGTCCAACCACTATACTACACTACTTCAAAGAAATAAGAACTTGTTTTGCACCGAGCCGGGCTGTTGGTCCACATGTATCCAGGACAGTATCATCAGCTCTTACTGGCAGAGGCTCAAGCAGGTGCTTCTGCTGGCCTTGCTACCTACAGTTCTTTTAGCTAGAGATACCAGGGATGGAATATGGGATTTTATGTGTGTGTGTGAAGCACATACTCCACTACTGAGCAACGGCCCCTCTCTCCTTAAGTTATTAAGACATGCAGTATGAACACATACTGGGATGTAAGTTCCACTGACCAGTGGATCTCCTGAATCAATGTGCATAAGGCTGGGCTGTATGCATGGGCAGATATTTTTTGATAGTGGGGGCCTAGGGACATGTCCATGTTTAGAAGGACTAATGGTAGAAAAATCCTTACCGAGAGAGGCCACATTCTTGTCCTGCATAATGTTCTTGTTAGCCGCTTTTTGCCCTCGATCCAGTAGAACTATCCCTCTCTCTCAGTGAAGAACACGGCTACTTGCCACAAAGTGACCAGCTCCTGGTAAAGGAAGGCTAAAAATCAGTGTGGTGTCACCTGTTCTGCACGTGTGTGGAGTTGAAAAAACATATTTAAAACACTTCTATGACACTAGAGAGCAATAGTGGGAGAGTTCTTTGCCCACGCTGAAAGTTCTCCAGTGGCTTTAAACACAAACACAGTAAGGCCCATTTAAGGAAAACAAGCAGAAACCATCACTAATTAATAAAATACCAATAAATTTTAAAAGGCAGGCAGCCCCCCTAAAATACCGCAGCAGCTAGAACAATACAAAGTGCTTTCTTGGTGAAGCCCTTCTCTTCCTGTGCAGAAAAATAATTTGCCTAACAGTGGTCCATCTAGTCCAGCATCCCATTACACAGAGTGGCCAACCAGTTGCCCTGGAGGGTCAAACATCAGGGTGCAGAGGCAGAGGCCCTCCCCTGTTGCTATCTTCTCCCAGCACTGGGATTCAGAAGTTTGCTGCCTCTAGATATGGAGGCTCCTTTCAGTCACCATGGCTTGTAGCCATCAATTGACCCATGAATCTGTCTAGTCCCGTTTTGCTGGCATCCTCCAGCAGTGAATTCTACAGTTTAATAACTCATTCATAGAAGTAGTTCCTTCTCAGAGAAAAGGTATTGGTTTTAATGCCCTGCACTACTTTACAAATTGGTACATAAAACTGTATCACTTTGCACAGTGCAGTAGTCCTACAACGTCCTTGCACAGTGGACCAATGTTGTAGCCTCTGCATTGTAAAGGGGTTTGGAGAGGCTGTGACTGAGAGGATGCTGGCTTGCCTACCTTTTATTTTGAACTGGTGTGAGTTATGTTTTTTTTAAAAAAGAAGAAAGATGGATAAAAAAGAAAAAAGAAACAACAGTGTGCACATGGCACGGGTGAAAAGATAGGCATATATGATAAATAAAAAATTAAAAGTGAGTCTTATATGGCAGAGGGGCATTAAAGATGGCTGAAGAATTAAACCCAGTGTGGTTGTGCTGTGGGGAAACCTGAACCAAGGACATTTAAATTAGTGTCCAGCAGCATCTTAGAGACCAACAAGTTGTTCAGGATATTAGTTTCGAGAGTCAAAGCTCCCTTCATCAGACACAAGTAGGAATGGAGATTTGAGTTTTTATATTCTAGTCAGAAAGTGGAAGGGGTGCTGTAATGGATCCTTGTAAAGGTACAATGCATATTTAAGAAGACTAGTTTTTATGGATGGAAAATGATACTGTCAGTTGGCCCCCCCCCCCCGTGACTTCTCATACTTACCCGTTTATCTAATGTATGTGTTGTCAAGTCACTACCGATTTATGGTGACCAATGTTCCCTCTAAGCTGTGGAGTCTTGTGAGCAGGAATTCTACTTTGTGAGCTGCTGCCATTAAAGTTGTGAGCGAGCCATTTGGCTCCTGCATCAATTAGTCTGCTCTGGAGCCCTCCTTCCAGAGCTAAGGCAAAGATGTGTGAGCTGGAGGCTAAAAAACTGTGATCTAGCTCACACTAACTCAGCTTAGAGGGAACACTGATTGGTGACCCTATGCATTCACGACCAAAGAAGCTACCTTAATGAAACAGAAAAACGAATCACCATCAGCAGCCACGAAAAGCCCCGGCTGGATCAGACCAAGAGGGTCTGCCTAGTTCAGCACCCGGTTTCCCACCACAGTGGTTGCCAGCTCCAGCTTGGGGAAGTACCAGGAGATTTTGGGGGTGGGGCCAGGAGAGGGCGTGTTCGGGGAGGGACTTCAGTGGGGTATAAAGAATCCACCTTCCCAAGCGGCCATTTTCTCCAGGTGAACAGATCTCTATTGCGGGCTGGAGATTAGTTGCAACTTGCAAGAGATCTCCATCCACCACCTGGAGGCTGGCAACCCTAGTGGCCAACAAGCTTGCCCCGAGAAGCCTCCTCCCTCAACAAGAGATTAAGGTCTCTGACCGCCATTCCTCTCTAGCGGCGGGTATTCAGGAGCCCATGGCCTCTGGACGCGGAGGCTCCTTTTTGCATTCATGGGAAGTAGCCGTTCCTCGACCTGTCCTCGTCCTCGAAGCCACTCCGTGGGTTCCCCAACCCCCCCCCCCCCCCCTTTTTTCTCCACTGGGACAT